CTCTGCGCAGGGAAGAGCAGAGCACCCTGCCTCCCTCCTTGCAGCGCCGCTAAAATAAAAAGCATGGCAGTGATGTGAAAAGCACAAAATAGAAAAACAGTACATTTCCAAAATGCCTGTTGAGCAAATTGTGTTGGAAAAATGAGAACGGATCCAACCCAGCCCCAAATAAAGCAATCCACAGAGCACAATCAGCCAGGCACAAGAGTAAGAGTAGAGCAAACTCCGCTCAGACAACTTTGCTTCCATTTTAAAGCCATGGTTTGCCCATGCAAAACAAACCTTCACGAAAAGTCTCTGCAAACATAACAAATATAGGATATTTGTTACCTCTCGTTACCTTGCTGAGAATCCACTGCTTCCTACTTTCTGCTCTGGTGTGCAGCCCCCACCCGCTGCCCTCCTGAGGCACGGCTCTGAGCTGCTGCTGTTCTGGCCTCACCAACCGGGGGCTGCTGAAACCTCCCTAAGTCATTCTGGACAGCGTAGCAAAGTTTGTGTCGTGTTACTATGGTCAAAATGCAGAATAAAAAGCCAAGTTTTTACTAGAAGGTTCAGGTATTTCTAGGCTGCAGCCTCACAGTAATTTCCACAGAACACCTCTTATTGTGACTCCTACTCTGGTTATTCATGCTGAATCCACACCGACAGCAGAACACACTCACACCAGCTCTCTCAGCCAAGAAGAAGGGATAAAGAGAGGCGTCTGCTCACTGCCACTCCTCCTCCCTTCCTTCTCTTCTCAGGTTAGCTGAGGGAACAAAGCACAGATATTTCCAATTCATGCATCTGTCTGATGTGGTGCTTGCTTCAGGAAAGCAAAGTCAGCCTTCACTTGGTGGGCAGTCACTAGACAGGGTAAGTTTGCTACAAAGCTCCATGGAACTTCTTACAATTATTTATTTGTAAATAATACACTGTAAATATGCTTTACCTGGGGATAAGGTCCTTCTTCATGTGCATCATTAAATATTTACTGCCTCAGCATTCCAGTGCTTTTGTGGAAAGTGAAAGCCATTAGAATACATTATTAATTTTGAAGGCATTAATTAAAAACACTCACTGACTTCAAAAGCATCTCTGAAACAGAGGAGCTCTGAGTGCAGTGAGGTAGGATTTGTGGTATCTGATGTGACCAACCTACACACACTGACAGAAAGCAAATCCATCTTACATTCAGAACTGAAACACGCCAGAAGTATAACAGGACACATTTCAACTAGGAAAAACCTAAAAACTTGAAGCAAATTCCTTAAATCCATTCTCACTCAACAGTATAACACCCTACTCACGTTGGGATGAATGCTGTAGCTGGACCAAAACAGCCACTTTTGGAAAATCAAGCATGACCTACCAGGCACTACCAATCTTTTCCTCACTAAAATAGGGATCTGTTATGCTGCCGAAGTCATCAACAGGAAGCATACTACATGACAAAAGGAGGGCAAACAAACTTCACAGCATGCTCAGGGGTGAGTTTGTTTTGGTTTTTCTATTTTTGTGAATAAGAGAGGAAACAATTAAAATTAGAAAGTTGTTACTCACTTGCTACTTTTCCCCTTTTTAAAGTCTTACCACCCCAACTTGGAACAATTTACCACCCCCACCTGAACTATTCAACAAGCTTTGCTGGGATCACTCCTAGGCAAGAATATACAACCTTGTTTTAAAACTCAACAGTGAGACTTAAGAGTAGGACTTTTTTTTCCTACAATAAGCTTTATAAATAAGGAATTGAATCTGATCACTTTCAGATGCTGCCAGGCTTTGGACAGATGAATGTTTCCAAAGAGCTGGCACGTCTGTTTAGGATAGGAGTGGGTGGAATACTGCAGGATTCTCCTTCCCTCCCCCACTGAAGCAGAATCTGGTCTCTATTAAGCTGAAATGCCTTTAATTCTACAGTAGGAAATCTGCTTTTTACAGACAGTGTCGCAATTCCTAAAGTAATCCTTAATGCTGATGAGATCCTGCTCCCAGTCTGGCAATTTCAAGTTGCACTGTCCGTGCCATGCTTAGCAGGAAAGAAAAACCTGAAGTTTTAGTAACAGTGAAACACGTAACATTACAAAGTCTATGCTGCAGGGAGCTCTGTATGGAGCATAACAAAGCAAAATTCACTCAGCATGCCTAGAATCCACCACTTCTAACTGCCCTATGAAAACCTTCAAGTGCCATCTCTGTGCTGCAGCCAAAGGCACAACTGAACCTATTGAAACAGTCTGCAATATTTTGTAAGCCGCGTTTCCAAGCTGATCGACACTATAAGCATAGGAAAATTCAGGAAAATACAACAAACATGAATGCAGTTACACCTTCCTTTCTATTCAGAATTTTATGATGATCACAAGCTCCTCATTTAAGTGCTTTCTAATTAAGGTTCATTTGATCCTGCCTGAATGTTGCATTAGAATACGACTGCTGTGAAAGTCAGGCAAACAATGCCCGACTTGGAAACCTGATTCCTCCTGAGGAATGCATTGTAAATCTATACCCTTGCCCCCAGATTGTGATTTGTGTGCAGTCCTGAGACCCAGAGTGGTTATACACATTAAAACATATACAATAATATAAAAAAAAAAATCAAGCACACATAACAAAATGTGTTGCAATTACTGAAAAAACATCGTATTTGACATCACAAATTAATTTTGAATCTGGCAACTTTTTCATTCTGCTTAAACATGCTTCCAGATATCCATTTGTCCTTTTCTTCCTTTCTGTAGGTGATCTATGCCAGTGCTTCAGAGATGAGAAAATGACTATTCTTATCTTAAGAGAAAAATGGGTACTGGCAGCTAATAACGACATCATTTAATAACAACTGCTTGCTGTCCTATTAAGGAGAGAGACAATTTTCAGAAGTTATTGGATCCAGCTCCTGCAGCTGGCCAGGGACACTGTTTGCATCTTACTGCCACAAGCTTTGATGTCCCTTATGAAGACCCAGATGCTTGATATTACTTCAATCTCACTGTTAGTTGAAAGTTTCTGTGCATCTTAGCTGCAAATAAGGGGCTTCTGCACTTGAAGAATCAAACTCCACAGAACTGCAGAAATTCAAGGAAGTCTTTTTCTTCTTTTTTCAAAAACAACCCCGAAACTTTAAGCACTTAGCTAGCAGGAATGGATAAGAAGGGGATAGTAAAGGAAAGTAAATAAAGCTTGATGTAAATTGTGGTAAAAGATGTAAGGCTAGCCCTTCAAGTTCCCACAACATAGTTAAAATTAAGGCAAGCTGCCTCATATCTACAAGCAGTTTTAAGATTCTGCCTTCCTTCTGAAGTCACAGTTTCCAGCTATAATGCAACAGAAACAAAAATTATCCAGGTTGCCCAGATATTCCAAAGATTCAGTGGTACAAAGGCAAGGATTTTATCTTTGCACAGCCGACATCTGACCTGGCCATGTCAGTGTCAACAAGAACAACTCTGGCAAATCTCTTCAAAGTGACAGGCATTATTCTCTGAATCTCTCTCCCCTTCTCACTTTCACGCTCAGTGTCTTCCATTGTCACTTGAAAGAAAAAAGTCTGTTTAACCATCTCAACTATCTTCATAGAAAGTGAAGCTAGAAGAAAAGCAGCTTAGCAGTAACAAAGTTTTCCAAAAATACGAGGAGTAGCAGGTTGGTCATGTTTGCTCACACCAAGAGAGGGGTGGCAGCAGGCAGAGAGGCAGCTGTCCCCCTCTGCTCTGCCCTTGTGAGGCCCCACCTGCAGTACTGCACCAAAGCCTGCAGCCCTCAGCACAGGAAGGCATGCAGTTGTTGAAGTGGGTCCAGAGGAGGACATGGAGATGACCAAAGGGCTGGAGAACCTTTCCTATGAAGATAGGTTGAGGCAGCTCGGCTTGTTTAGCTTGGAGAAGAGAATGCATCTAGGACACATCACTGTAACCTTCCAGTACTTGAAGGCAACTTACAGGTAGGAGGGAGACCAACTTCTTACTGTCTTATAGTGACAGAATAAGTGAAACAGTTTTAAATTAAAAGTGGAGAGATTTAGATCAGATGTTATGAGGAAATTCTTCATGCAAGGGATGGTGAGGGCCTGGCCCAGGGTCCTCAGCAAAGCTGAGGATGATCCATCCTTGGAGGTGCCCAAAGCCAGGTTGGATGGGGACCTGGGTAGCCTGGGCTGATAGATGGCAACTAGCCCACAGCAGGGGGGTGGTAACTACATGATCTTCAATGCGCCTTCCAACCCAGGCCGTCTTACAATTCAGGTCAGACCATGCTGATTAAACAGAGAGTAAGAAAGAAAAGTAGTAAGGGAGACAAATTCAAACTCCTTCAGTTTCATCCCTCGTCTCTGGTTGACCTACAGTCTGTCTTAACTTGCCAACTCTCCTTATGCATCACTCATCCTCTTACAGCTCCTGTCTTTCTAACATCTTAGAGCAGCTGGTTTCCATTCCCTTTTCTGGCTCCTCTTTTCTTAATCCCAGTAATTTCTGCTCTAATAAAAAAAAGATTTAAGACTGTGGGGCCCTGAAGAAGCAAAGCACAGGGTAGTAAGAGCCATATCAGTGAAACGGAGGAGGGGAGTAAGACTCCCCATCAGTAAGAACCAGTGAGAGGAAAACAAAGCACGACCTGTAGAAGAAAGCAGACTGTAGCATGTATTAAGGTCAGTGGTAATGTTTTCCATAGCATGGAATAGCCAGCTACAAAATAATCTGCCAGCATTTCCTCAAGCTTCTTTTGTGTCTTTGAGCTGCAAAAGATGTCCCCATATCTGCCAGAGATATGGCAGCTCTGCAAACAAGAATAGCCTTACAGCTCAAGTAGCCACTTGATAATCTACAGAGAGGAATAAAGGCTAGAAATCAGAATTCTTGACAAGACTTCAAACATTTGGAACTGTTTTTTTTTTTTTTTTAGAAGAGTTGGAAGCAACACATTTTGTAATTCGTACACAACAAAACTGGACAACAAACAAAATCCACAACATTATACACACAAATTAAAACAATCTTAAGTTTTGGGAAAGTACTAACCAGTTACTGACAGCAGCTGTGAAACCCTCACCTCCATTTCCTCCCGATGAGACCTGTCTCTGTCTTCGAATTCGCGGGTTCTTCTTCGAGCTTCTTCAAAGGCTTGTTGTGCCAATGCATCCTCCTGCTACCAAATCACACGACAACAAGCGACACAGAAGGTTACCCTCATTTCCATCAGATGAACCTTTCTTTTGAATATTAGGGATCGCTTGACAGTAAAGATAAGCATGTCTTACAGAACCAGCTAGATCACAGATCAGTTCTAGCAGCTGCTAATTGTAATGTAAGGAATTACTACCTACCTTCATCACTATGGCAGAAGTAACCGAAGCTACAGTACAACCACAGCTACTACTTAAATACAGTTTCGAAGGAGAATGGCTTGTCAGAAGTCATTTTAAATGCTGCAAAATTTTCTGAAAGCTAGGAATCTCAGAAGTTAGATGAAAGAGGCAATGCACTTTATTTCCTTACAAAAATCATTGTGAAAACAATATTCACAGGTATACTGAGAAAGTTCATTCGCATCACGACATATACAATGGTAATTTAACTACTTCCCATTTAAAAATGTACATCCACGTTACAGAGCAATTAAGCCCTCAATTGCATGAAAAGCTGTTGAAGGTGCACCAATATGAACATGTATAAACCTTACATATTTAAATAATCTAAATTTAGCTGAAAAACATGGGGCAGAAACTATTCCACCACTGATAGGTATACATGCACACACAATGCAGAGGACACCTACGGTTTTCCAACAACTCCACTGCTTCTTTTTAAGAGAATTACGCATGATGTGGATTATGCATGAAAATACCTTTAGTAAACTAATGCTCAAAACATCATGAAGACAGTAAGGGATAAAGAGCATTACTTCTCTCTCCTCGTAACTTTCCAGCTCTAACTACTGCTAACTCTGCTCATCATTCCCACGTACGCACATTATTTTCAAGCCGGCAGTTCTCCTAAAAGTAAAAATCCTAACCTTGACTATTGGAGGACAAAAACATTGTGAGAAACCAACTAAATGTTAATACACCAAGGGACCAAGCGCATAAATTTTTTAATTTCGGTTCAAACATCTTTAGGCTGGGAGAACATTAAATTGCTTTTTTCGCCCCCGGCACAATCACGCTGCCTGGAAGGCACTCTGTGAACTGATGTGAGTGAGTGCCCCTCGTGGCCTAGCACAGTTAGAGACAAACAGCTGTCAGTCAATAACTGCACCCAGGTCCCTGGAAAACTGCACTCAAAGGCAATCTTTAAAGCGGACCATAAGAGAAGTCTGACTTATTTTTAAAAGTAAATTATCTATAAAGGGCTGAATTCTAATGTTCATGCAGCACATAGCAACTGAGGTCTCACAGTAAGAGGTGATTTTGTTCTCAATAATGCAGAAGAGATAATACACAAGATAGGTTTGTCTCTCTGATGATGGCAGAGAAGCTGCCTTATTTCTGGTGTACAGCAGCCACGTCATCGTTACCCTCTCACTTTTGGGGGGACAGACTTAAATGAAAGCAGATTTTTCTGTACAAGATTTTTGCATTTCACCATCACTTGAAGTGGTCATGTAATAAAAAGCTAGCACAGCCTCAGCCAGGAGATTTTTTTAAACATGGTTATAAACCAAAAAAAGCTAAATTAGAATTTCAGAGAAGAATCAGTTTGTTGACATCCAGAATGAACACATGCTGACAGCTGAATCGCTGGTTTATTAATGTCAAATGAAAGGGAAAAAAAGCATCAGAATGCAACCTTAAGTAAAAAAAATATATATTAAAAGATCCTGCTTTGGCCTCAGAGATGCACTACAAGAGAAACTGAACTTCTCTGAAGCTCAAGTAACAGGAGTTTAACTATCCTTTTTCAAACATCAGCCAAGTCTGGCAATTACAGGCCAGCAAATTTGGAGGTAGGAAACCCAATCATCCATCCGCCCTAGTTTTATTCAGGAGCAATACTTCTGACAGGAGCCCACTAATGAGAAGAGTTTGCCAAACACGAACCATATCAATACAAGAACAGGGCAAAACAGCCCCTGAGGCAGAGAAACAAAACCCACAAAGGGGAGGCTTACTCTCACCCACAGGTACCCATCACAGCAGCCACAGCAGGACAAGCCTTTATAAGAACGACATCAACTGCAGAAGCTACATAGCAAGAACGTTGCATTACAGAAGACACACAAAAGTACTGGAGACAAAAACAGTCCTTTAATGAGACTCCAGGCAAACAGCAAACTCAGGGATACTGCAGTGCTGGATGGAGAAGGTACCCAAGCACTACGTTAGCCCAACAGAAGGCTGAACAAGCAGCTGAATCAAGGCTCCCAGTAACAGAAGGCGAGGCTGCTTAGGAGGGAGATATTAATTTGCTGTGAATTAAATAGAAAGAATGGTAGCTTAAAAGTTACAATTGAAGTATTTTATTGTGCACGTGACTTTCCTTCCTGAGGCATTTTTTGACCTGCTGAAGGATAGAATTTCAAAAACTGTGGCAACAAGGAGAAAGCGTATCTGATCCCAGTACTAGTAAGAAGTGATAAGAGACAGGAAAATGCAAGAGCACTAGATTGGCATACAGCAAGCTTTCCCAAAAACAGCAGGGGTGGTGGGCAGGGGGACAATGAATGCTACTAAGACTCACACGACAAAAGCAGGAGCACTGCAGGCACTGTGCTGCACAGCTGGAAGCACCTGAACCCACTGACACCAGTGTAAGGGGGGGATCAATGTCAGCAGTCAGCTCCATTGGCAGCAGTAATATTAAAACACGTTTAAGAAAGGAAGCAGATGACAGATAAAGGGAAACTAAACAGTGCAAAAGATTTACAATACTAACAAACACAGGCCAATATAATTGACATATCACCTTGTAAATTCTCATTAATTTTATTTCTCTAACTTGCACTTAACACAAACTTAACTGCTGATGCTCAGAAGCACAAATTGAAAATAGATTACACACTTGCAATCAAGTGCAAATCTATCTCTGTAGATGCAGTGTGCAGTATTTCCAGCTCAGCAACCCTGAACTTGAAACACAAGAAAGCACTGACACGTGAGAGCATGCATAAATTCCCTCTCAAAAAATAAACAAACAACAAATCACATGCTCAGTGCACAGATATTCCCTGAAGACACCTGTGAAGAATTCTTCCACGTAGTTAATACATACATATTAGTATACATATCAGAAAACTAAAATAATCCTAGAGCATGCAAAAACATGTCATGAAATTAGAAGAGAAGAATGGAACCCAAAGGTCACTTGACCCTCCCTCTTCTTTCAGGAGTTATCCAGTTTTGGAGATGAGTGACACTGTCAGCTCCTGAGCAAACACCCCAGCCAGTCTCCTCTCAGCTCAGTCACACGACTTAGCATCGTACTAAACATAACAGGCATGGACCAGGGCAGTTTTTCTTGCACAATCCTCAGGGGACTATATCTGACTGCAATGTGCAAGTCAGAGGAGTTCTAACCCACGGTGTTACAGAAGTTACTGGCTTTTTTTTAAAAAAAAAAAAACAAAAAAAAACAAAAAAAAACACTGCTGTAACAGGAGCCTAGCTGTCCCAAATGCTGACTCAGCCCTGGAAGAAATGAGTGTGCAGCTAACAGCACCATTCAAGGAAAACTTAGGCTCTGTGGCTTTTTTCTTTTCTTTTCTTTTCTTTTTTTTTCCAGATAAACAAAAGGTGGAAGGACTATTCTCAGATTAGACTGCCATTGATTCTGGGCATCTTGAAGAAAGCACACAGAGCTGTCACTATTTCAAAGACACTGTTTTGACACATGGTACTTGTATTTAAGGCTGAACACAGTCAAAAGAATATGATCTAATGTACAAATTGGTTTCTTAAGTGGGAGGGAGGCCAGGCTCCACAAAGCTTGCAATTACACATCTCCACACAAAATCTGATTTGAATACTTGCAGCTCTTGAATGGAGACAAATTAATCAATATGCCCTCCAGTTCTACATATGTGCAACAGAGAAGTGCTCTTTGCATTTAAGTAGAATTTAAAGGTTTCTACTCGTAAAAGAGTGACCAATTGTGGCTATGACTAAAAGGAAAACCCCGAGGATGGCTGAAAGAGAGATGCACAGAGTGGAACAGACAAGGTCTGTCTTAAACTCTGAGTAAATTAGGGAACTCTACAGATGCATAAGGAAGCTTATATAAGTAACAAGCACTTAAAAATTGAATTCCTCTGAGTCTACTTTCGTTCTTGTGCACATCCATAGATTCAGCTGCTAGAAAAAGTTACTTCGGAAGTAGGAAGCCAGCAGATAGGAAGTTTCTCAAAAGCTGCCATACCTTAACAAAGCTGCCTACCACTGTTACCGAGAAGAAAACCCCATTCATCCCACTCTTCTCCCACCCTGTGCCTCCTGTTTTTTCCCCTCTCCATCATGTAACAACAAAACAAAAAGGCTACTTTGACAAAAAAGAAACAAAAAAGGTAATCAGCTAGAAAAGACTTGCTATTTAAGTTGTTTCAAGCTACAATAATAGCTTCTTAAATACTTTCAGATTTATTACTCTGTAGCATAGTAACAGTCTTAAAAAGCATCACAAAGTTGCAAGTGCTCCTACCACTTTGCTCTAACTACAACACTGGTTCAGCTACAACCACTTATTTCTGAACTTCCACTTTCCTTTGCTATCTGTACACTAAATGAAAGCTGAAAGCATACAAATTAGGACATGCAATTGTTACCTGACTGCATGTATTCCCCCAGGAGGAGGAACATCTAAGGCACAGTAACTTAGGCAGGCTGTCTTACCTGTGCTCTCTCTTCATCAAATTCCAGGCAGCCCATACCATCCAGTCTCTGTAGATCTATCCAGCCTTTCCAGATTACACAGACACCATTGAGAATCATAGGTGCCTTCAAGTACACCTGAAATAAAAGCAAAACATTTGCTATAATTTCATGGCTGCGCAATGAAAATAGCCATGCAGGAAGCCTCTGTCTATATTCTTAGAACATCCAAGCCAACTGGTAACATGAAACTCCACTTAACGGCTTCTCCTGCCTCCTTTCCAAGAACTCATTTTAATCAAATATATGCTGTAACTCCTGCCTGCAATACTGGATGGAATACATTTGAGCTGTGTTCTCATTCTATAAACCGGCACGCACCAGGATTTGGTCAGAATTCCATTACTGCTTTCAAACTGAAGTAACCACTTCTCTTGTCAGCTTACCTTCGTGCCACAAGGAGAGTGGCATGCTGCCAGACAGGGAAGATCCTTCACAGCATGTTCAAATGGTTAGATGAGTATGCTTTCCTCCTCCCAAAAACCACTGTATTTTATTCCACATGCGAGTTTCTTCAATCAGGACCGAGTACCACTTTCAGCCCTCAACTTTGCAAGCCAAAATTCAGTGAAATCCATTATATGTGCACACCATGCTGAAAGTAATAGTCTTCCCTTCTGTACGCCAGCATTTGTGAAAGGCTTTTCAAACACAGCAACACCAGATGATCAAAACCCACCTCTGGCTTCAATCTGCACAGTGCCCTGAACAGCAGCAAGAACAGTGCAGGAGCAAAATGCCCTACTAGATAACAGAAGATGATACAGTGATTTAAAATAGAAGCATTTCCCTTTCTAAAGACCAGAGATTATCTCCACACAGGAAATTTAAAAAGAAGGAAAGACAACACTAAATTTAACACCCTCCATTTAGTAAGGAGAAAGAATAAAAAACAAACCAAAAGCAACTCATATAGCTAAATTATCCAAATCATGGGGGAAAAAAATAATAATAATAAATCAGCCTCTGGTAGTTATTTCAGCCTACTTGGCAAGTCGTACCACTCAAGAAACAGAAGTTTGTCCATGCTGAATTGCCAGAGAGGCAAACCATGCACACAGGCCAGCACCCGTTCCAGATGTAAGGGCTGCCTAGACATTCAAAATAGCAGTCTTCAGAAAGAGCCCAGCTAGCCAGGGGGAAATTTCACACAGCGTCTCCTCTAATCGCTCCACATTCATCCTCTGGCAAGCCCTCAGCAGCAAGCTGTAACTGATGTTTAGGGCTACAGGGTGCTTCAAAGCACGCTGACTGCGCCCGTCTGCTCGGCTCTGTGCCGGACTGCTCAGGTCACTGCACAGAAAGAGGGAGGGCCAAGAGCTACAGGTTGTATCGAGGGAAGGTGTGTCTTCCTCGTGTAAGCTGTGCTAACAGAACTAGGCAGCCAACAATATGAACATGAGGGGAAGAAAGGCAGCAAAAAACAACACAACTCCAACTGACAAACAAGTAATGCTAACTGCAAAAATGAATCGAGGTTTGCTCGCAGAGCTTAGTTTTCACAACTTGTCATATCTCAGTGTAAACCAACATACACTAGAAGTTTCAATGAATACAACGTACAGTGGCTCGCTCAGTAATGATTAATCCCTTCAGTCATATCAGATACAACATTACTCCCTTGCAGCAGTCTTCACTCATTCATCCCACAGAAAATAAATGATGTGCATACCAGAAATTTAAGTGATACATTTAATTGGCTCAGAAGTGGAAAACAGACAGTTAAAGAGGCCATTAGAATCAAGCGTCATTCCCTTCCAAGAAGGCAGAATCATTCAAAGGAAAAAAAAGCACCCTAAACCTAACAAGGGATCCGTAAAGTTCAGGTAAAAAACCATCATGGCAACCGCCACTATCAGAACAAGTCAAGGGACAGAAGGATGGAGCACAGCCCTGCTGAAAAGGACCTCGGGGTGCTGGTGGGTGGCAGCTGGACATGAGGCAGCAGTGTGCCCTCACAGCCACACAGCCAACCGTATCCTGGGCTGCATCCAAAGCAGTGCAGCCAGCAGGGCATGGAGGGGATGTGCCCCTCTGCTCTGTGCTGGAGACCTCACCTGGAGCACTGCGTCCAGATGGGAGTGCTCAGTGCAGAAAGACACAGACCTGTTGGAATGCATCCAGAGGAGGCCACAAAAACAAGCCAAGGGATGAAACATCTCCCTACAGGGACTGAGAGCTCCCCAGGCTGAGAGCTGGGGGCTGTGCAGCACAGAGAAGGGAAGGCTGCAGGGAGAGCTGAGAGCAGCCTTCAGCATTGAAGGGGCTGTAAGAAAGAAGCATGTATACTTGGGGAAAATGGCTTCAAGATAAAAGAGGGGAGATTCAAATCGGAGCTAAGGAAGAAGTTCTTCGCGCTCAGGGCGGTGAGGCAGTGGCTCAGGCTGCACAGAGAGCTGGTGCTGCCCCATCCCTGTGGGCAGCCAAGGTCAGGGAACGGGGCTGTGAGCACTGATGGAGCTGTGGGTGTCCCTGCTCAGTGTGAGTAGATGGCCTCCAGGGTCTCTTCCCACTCAAACCATTCTATGACACAGACCAGTCCCTCCGTACTGCAGTACCAGTTACCCTTCACAAGTATTTGTTCATCTTCACTCAGGGTTTACCTTTCACTGAACACCCCCAAACCTTTGGCACAAAAAAATAGCTAGGAAATCAAGAGTTACCTAGGACTTTCCATAGACTGCAAAACGTAGCCTTTTCAGATTCCAGAATGCATGGTTCTTTTCTTGCCTCCCTTTTTTTTTTTTTAAATAGACGTTTGCTTGTTTATCTGTCTAGAAACCTTATGCTGACACTGACTGCCATAGAATCCTAGAATTAGCAAGACTGGAAAAGACCTCCAAGGTCATCTAGTCAGTCATTTTTCAGCAGCAACTGTTCAGTGCCTTGGTCCCTGCAGCTGCCAGTGCATGACGTGCTGGCTGTAGGTAGCTCAGCGCACAAAGCAGGAAGGTCGGATGCAGCTGCTGAGAACTCAGTACTTTAAAACCTCCTTAGGTTAAGCATCACCTGGAAGGCTGAGCGGTGCTGGAAATGCTGTGAGAGTCATCAGAAGTCAAAGGGAAAGAAAGGGAAACAAGTTAGCAGAAGTGATGTGATTGCTTATGCCTACTATCAGCTCCAGACACACGGACCAGCAGCTGAGCTGATAAAGCAGCTCATGAAGCACCAAAACGCAGCCTGACCCTTCGTGATATGGCGTAAGGTACTCTGCTCCTCAATCAGAGCCCTTCAAACACTGCTTTCAGTAGGCTTTATTCCTACCAGCACCAAAACCCAGATAATAAACATTTTTCACTCTGAAAGGGTGAATTTCTTAACAAGCCATCTGAGTTTTGAAGTTACCATATAATCATTGAAATTTAGTATAATTCACATCGAAAGCCACATATGCTTATGCAGGAACTTTTCTCTCATTAAAACACACAATAAAGCAAACTGGCGCTTTTTCCTTTATTGCAGAGAAAGGAATTTAGACTCCTTTTCCCCTCTCCTCTTTCTGGGGAATGGAAACCACCTAAGACTGGAGCCAAAACCGTTTAACCACATATTTCCTTCTTTTCAGATAAAGCCATGCTGGTTCCCTTTCAATTTCCAAGCTTAACAGACTATTAATATATTGCTGCCCTTGTCTACAATCACACGATACTAGCACACCCCAAAGCCAGCACAAAGTTATCTTTTAAGAACTTTCAGAACTCTGTTTTGAAAATTGACAACCGCAGTAAGACAGCAAAGGAAAAAGCCACCTGATTTCTATAAAGACCCTGATTTTTCCCTTCATATTACTGAGCTATAAAACTTGGATTAAAACCAGATAAAAGGATGACTTTGTTAGAATAACTCTTTCAAGGTTTTGTTGCTAACCCCAGATTAACTGCGTTTATATAATCTTATAAACCATCCCCAACCCATCTGGTGCTTTCCCTAGCATCATTCAGAAGCCAGACTTGTAAGAAGCTGCCTACAAGATTTTGAGCCATAGGTAAACTGCCACACATTGAAATCTGTACTTTTTACTAGTTTATGCCAGCTGAATTTTTTATTCAGGTGGCTGTTATGCAAATCTTCATTTCACTTCAAACCAGATTTTCCACTTCCAACTCCCACTATAAATCACTGTAACATTACAAAAATATATATTCTAACAAGAAAAGCAGACATGCTACTTTCATGTCAAAAACAGGTTCTCAGTGTTAGAACAAACACACTGCTTGCTGACTGAGCAACCAGCAAGAGTAAACACACTTATCTCCTGGCACATTATCTGGCCTGCGGATGAATGACACCACACACACACACACACACACCTTGAGAAGATGCCACACCACTCTGCGGGGCTCAAAGCAGCTGAGCTGTACTTGTGCTTTCCTGACCCACCAGCAGCCCTCTGTGCCACACCTTCATGCATAATATCTCACTTTCCATACTCTTTGAACTATTCATCATTAGTCCTCTTTATCTGCCTTTAAATAAGGTGCCCTCTCCTCCAATTCTGACTGAGTTAGCTTTGCTATTAAAAAAAAAAGCAGTGGCTTGGCTCATGTCACACTGTTTGTATTTTAAAAGCCAGACTTGATTTGAATATAGTGAAGCAGGCAAAAAAAAAAAAAGAAGAAAGAAAGAAAAATACTGTTTTAGTCGACCTCAGTTTCACATCCTATTTTTGTCCTCTAGTAAATCCTTATCTCACAACAGCAGGGTACTGAAGAGATGTGATGCAGATACGCTATCTGAACACCCCATCCACACATCCTGCAGTTACAGAAGAGCTCCTTGTCCCTACAGCAACTGAGCCATTTCCTCCCCCAGAGGTGCACGCAGCTCTTGCTGCCTGCTGACATGCGATCCCAGCACCCGCAGCTGTGAGGGGACAAAGTTCACCCCCAGAAAACACCAGCAGCCCCCAGCAACGCAGTGCTGCCCACCCCCCTGTTCTGATGCCCCAGCGGCACTCATTCAGAAGATGCCGGGCTCCGAGTCATCCCTGCCCCATCACACTGCCTTCCTCCTGGGCCAGCCACATACAGACGCCGTGGTTTTGATCCCACCTTCCCTGAATCATGCCCCATTTCTAA